TTTATTTTTTAAGTATATTTAAATTATACATTTAAAAATAAAAGTAAAACTAAAAAATTCAAAAATTTTAGTTGGCAAAAAGTGTAATTTCTTATAATATTCTAAAATTCAATTTCTCATATCTGTTTTTGGGTTTACAGACTATCTGGCTGTCTATAAATACCAGACCCATCTTGTTCCATTTTCTTCACATTCTCTTCTATTTTTCCCCACCATAGATTGGCATGGCTGCACTTACCCCTGTGTTTCTCTTTTTTCTCTTTCTCTCTGCCAATTCTGATGAAAGTTCTAAGTTGGATTCATCGTGCTTTTCAGCCATTCCGATTTCCAACTCGGTTGCTGCTCTCTACGTGTTTGGGGACTCGACCGTTGATGCCGGCAACAACAATTACATCGACAATGCCGCAAGGGCTAATTTTTTGCCTTATGGCATTGATTTCAACAACACCCCCACTGGCCGTTTTACCAACGGAAAAACTATTGCCGATTTCATTGGTATTATATTACTAACTACCGTAAACTGTACTCTCCCTTTGGTTTGGTTTGGTTTGGTTTTGTTATGTTTTATTCTCATTATAAGTAGTAAATGTTTTAAATTCAATTTTCTGTGTTGTGATGTGATTCGTGAAGCGATATTATATAATCTTTCACTACCCCCTCCGTATTTGAGCTTGATGGAAGCACAAAGGAAGACCACCATGGGCGGCATCAATTATGCTTCTGCTGGATGTGGTATCTCCCCCAACACCAAACCAAACGAGGTGAAATATTTTCAACTTTTCTTGCTTCTTGTGAATCCTCTAAATCTGTATTTTTTTTCAGACTTTTTGTTTTTAATATATGTATATATTTACAATTTACCCAACCATTGTTAACGTTACTTTATGGGAGAGGTTTCTCTGGTATCCACATGGTGGATTGGAGTGTGTTGTAGGATTCGTGGGGTTCACCACGGGTTTCCTTTCGATAATCTGAATCGTTGATTATGTAGAGTTCATCGAGTCCTTTATACCTGCAAAAAATACATTAATCAGATATAGATAGCCTCTTGATCGGAATATACTTTTGTTAATAATTTATTTTTAAAACCATATTACCATTGACAAAAATGTATTCTGATCAAAGGACTACCGCTATCCGATTAACGTGATTTTTCACACACATGAAGTACTCGATGAGTTCTACATATTGACGGTTCGAATAATCGAAACGGGATTCATAGTGAGTCCCACGGGTCCAACAGCATGCTCTAACTGGAGAGAAGCCTCTCCCTAGTTTAATTCCTCTTGGCTTCTCAGCGTGATTGCTGGAGTTTGCAAACACAGATTGAGGTATTTAACAGGACTGTCCAGGAAGATCTGCCATGTATGATTGAAGATCCACAAGAGCTCGCTGAGTATCTTGCAAATTCCATATTTTTCATCTCCGTGGGGGGCAATGACTACATCTTAAACTTTAACAACCACAGCGACCCTGAATATTTTGCAAATTCTCTCCTAATCCAGTTTCGTTGGTGTTTGCAGGTAAACTTTTAACTAATTGCATTCAAATCAGATTGTTGATTTTTAACACTATATTATTGCTATTAATCGATGATCAACTGTAATTTAAGTGTGAAAGATGATAGCTTCCATGGCTATGGATTGGGTTAGAGTCTAACCTAACCATCCTTTAATGTTTTCATTATTGCAAGACACTATACAACATTGGAGCCAGAAATCTAGTGGTGAACAACATAGGTCCTCTGGGATGCTTGCCGTCGATGATAAACAAGACAGGAAATGGGCAGTGCGATGAACAGATGAATCAAAATATCATGCCATACAACTCTCAACTTCCTCAGATACTAAAAAATATCCAGGATGAATATCCTAATGCTACCCTCACTCTGGCCAACAGCTATGATTTTCTTCAAGATATATTGGCTGACACTGAAAAATATGGTAACTGTTTATCTTTTCATTATTTTTTCAATTGACAAATAATTAATTTCTGGTCATTATTAATTTTTTTTTAATATCATTTCGCCGTAAAGTAGCTATTTTCGTCTCCTGCTTGTGTGTTGTGTTGTGTAGGGTTTACAGATGTAAAAGATCCGTGTTGCGGAGCCTATGTTCAAGGGGAACTAGCTTGCATCCCACATTACTCTACACCATGTGACAACAGATGTCACTCTCTCTTCTTTGATGCCAGCCACACCAGTGAATTTGCAAATTGTATCTTTGTTCGAGACATGCTTATTAAAGATTGAGGGTTCAACAAGTTTGCTAGTTTATTTTTAATTATGAGTGGTATGGTAGTAAGAGTATGGGATGAAAACAAGCTCTTGTCTCTGCTGAAGTTATTATGGACACTCAAATGATTTGATTTTTTTTTTAGGTGAATGTGATTTGATTATTTAATCTACACTTAATCTAAACTTCATTCTTCTACACTTAATCTACACTTCATTTTTCTTAGCATCCTGCTATTATTTTATTTATTTGTTTTTTATTTTGATTCTATAAGTTTGCGTGACGTAGGGGAATAATGTCACGTGGTATTTTACAAGAATCTAAGAAAATTTTCAAAGTTTAAATGTCAACGGTGAGTTTTAGAATAATAGAATCAAGGAATGGACTAGTATTAGAGACCCACAATTTGAATCCTTAATTCAATCTACAATGATGTAACAAGAGAGATAGACTCTACACAACTGAAAAATGACAAACTAAAAGTTTATATGTATAATGCCACATCATTGTAGGTCACATTGTGAGAGATTTTTTATGGGTTTTAAACATTTTCCTAAATGAGAAATTATGTCTAGGGAGACCAATGTGATTGTGTGAAAAAAGAAAAAGGAAAAAATAATTGGTACATTACCGATAGAGAGTAATTTCTCACATGAGGTTTGTGAAAAAATTACTTTATGAGAAAACAAACAAACAAATAAATCTAATAAATTTTTTTTCTTTTTAATTCTTTTCTAAATTTGTGAAATATTAGTAAAGCTATTTTGTTGGTTGACAATATCTAGGAAATAAAATGTAAGCGTACTTTTTATTTTTGAAATAAAAATAAAAATAAATGACCTATTCTATAAATAAAATTAAGTAAATCTTATTGATGCTAAGTAGCACATCAATTAGTTAGAAATCATCTCATTATACATTGTGAAACATTAATGAAATATAAAATTAATAGAAAGATTTTGAAAAAAATAAGAGACAATCCAATGATACATTTTACAAATACTTATGAATACAGAGCTAGTAGTGTAATTTTCCAAAGGCAAGGGTTGGCGATGGCACCCCAGTCCCACTGTAGGTCCACAATTAACTATATTTTTCTTCCTTTTTTTATTTTTTTTTGGTTTTTGTTTTTGGCAACAATTTTATATTTATGTAGATGATGTTTCTGGGCAACAAGTAATCTTTAAAAGAGAGAAAAAAAGAAGGCAAAACAAAAAGAGAAAACTACATTCATTTCGACTTAGCTATCATGGATCAGTTTTAGTCTTAGAATTTCTCCAATGGTTAGCAAAATTCAATAGCTAAAGTTATATTTTAGCAATGAATCATGTAAAAAATTTATAATTTAACCATTTTTTTATTTTTTTTGAGGAATTATTTAACAATGTTTTTCCAATGATCAGGTTGCTATTCTTTGGCTCAACTAGCTTTGCTCAGATTAATTATTATTCTTTCAACCACTATTTTTCAACCATTACGCTTCCAACGCTGCCAAAAAAACAAAAAAAAACAAAAAACAAAGAAGAGAGAATTTGTTTCTTATATTTTCTATTAATTTTTTTTCGTGGTCCATTCGAAGTCATAAAATTTATATTTTTTTGTGCTTCTTCTTCTTCTTCTTTTTTTTTTTTTTTTTTTTTGTAGAGTTAATTGTGCTATTTCTTAATTTTTTTATTTTTGAAAATTTCGTTGAGATGTAGAATGTTTCATGAAAACTTTGTTGACATGACATATTTCACTATAACTACACCTTGTGCTAAATTTGACATATGGTATATGTATGTGTATCAATTGGTAACAATTGTAAGGAAATGTTAGAATATAAAGTCTCAAAGGAAATGATAAGAAATCAATGCATGACGGAGGAACACAAGGAACAATTAAGTTTTAAACATCTTCAACAATCCCACATGATTAAAAATTTTAAAAATTCAAAAAAATAAAATAAAATTTTGGACTTAACCACGTGTCTTGATGTTGATGTCTTCTGGACTTGAATGTGAGTCGTTGGTGTAAAATAGTTAAGTCTTGAGTTCACCTCTAAATAATTCAATAATGCTTGTATGCTACACATAATTTAAACAGAAAATATATATGGGAGAGAAAAATAGGATTTCATTATCCTACCTTAACAATTATTTTGAAAAACATTAAGTATTTTGATTTTACAGTTTTCAAAAATAATTTAAGAGTTTTTAATTCATATTTTTTGATTTTTGGTGAATTGTTTTTAAAGAAATTAATCATTTGTTTTTTATCCACTTAATCTCAATATATACTGAAAAAGGAGAAAATTTGTGAAATTTTTTAAAAAAAATTCACTAAATACATTTTTTTTTTCTAATTCATTTTTCGTATTTTTTTTAATATTTATTGAATTCTTTTTAAATTTTTTTTATAAAGATTTTATTTTTTAAGTATATTTAAATTATACATTTAAAAATAAAAATAAAACTCAAAAATTCAAAAATTATTTTAAAAACTCAATTCCAAACTGGCATTGGAAACTTTTAAACATATAAAAAATTCAAAAATTCATTATATGTCGTTTGCAAGATATAATTGTTATGATGGACATCATTTCCGTTATGCCGACTTTTACAGTGTTAGAATTTACCTACACCTACCACCACCTACTACCACACGCATCGCGCGCCTCTTGCCGCCAGCCGACAAACGGGCACGCAAGCCAAGGCGCCCACGTGCCTCGCCATCATGTCCGGCACACCTTTTGATGAATTGGGCACGCCTTTTGATGGCACGCCTTTTGAAAAATTGGGGCACACCTTTTGAGGGTGCCACTTTTACAAGGGTCCGACAAGACTCTATAAACTGTCCCGACATTTGATACCGGTTAGCTTTTTCAAGGGTCCGACAAGACTCTGTAAACTGTCCCGACATTTGATTCCGGTTAGCTTTTCCAACGGTCCGACATGACCCCATAAACTGTCCCGACATTTGATTCCGGTTAGCTTTTCCAACGGTCCGACATGACCCCATAAACTGTTCCGACATTTGATTCCGGTTAGCATACAGTGTCCTCTACAACGTTATGACACCACCCTACAGTGTCCTCTACAACGTTATGACACCTCCATACAGTGTCCTCTACACCGTTATGACACCACCATCCAGTGTCCTCTACAACGTTATGACACCGCCATACAGTGTCCTCTACCACGTTATGACACCACCTTTCAGTGTCTTCACCAACGGTCTGACACGACCATACCGTGTCTCCTATCTTTTTTATTTTTTTTTTTATTTTTATGTATTTTCTTGTTTTGTTCCTCTCTTCAAACTCAAGTTGGTTAGTTTCTATCCTCCTTGAGTTTGCGGGGGGCTGTTAGAATTTACCTACACCTACCACCACCTACTACCACACCTACTACACCTACCACCAATTTACCCTCACCTACTCCTCACCTACTACCCAAATCCTCTCCTATATAAATCCTTGTAATATACACAACAAATCACAACATCAACATATCAATCAATAATCAATCAATATTACATAAAATCTTACATACAGGTTCACTAATAGGGAGAACAAATCCTTTTTGTATACATTACTCATAAATGGACTGATACAGTTGCAGATCTCTTCGAGGTGGGAATATCAGCCCAATGAGCCATTTCCATTTTTGTTAGGAACAAACTTCTTGTTGAAAAATAATCCCGGTAAATTAATTAATTTAAATAAATATCAAAAACGAAATTCAATATTCAATAAATAAAAATTAAGTAACAGAAAATACTTACAACACTATAAACTAAACATAAAATAAATAATAAATGTGTGATTGAGACTAGTGTTTGGACACTGTGTCTTTACGACAGAAATTCGGCCTCTCCACTGGTGCTTCAGATTTATGGACATCTTGTCTCCAGAATATAACAATCACCTACACACAGAAGTAGTACTACAATCTATGTGTATTGCGAACCAAATATATGGTAAGTACTCTTAAAAAAATAATAATAATAATAATAATAATGAAGATGAAGATGATTTTGACCATTGCCACAAGAAGACAAAAACCTAGGATCCAATCAATGATTGTTTTTTGTTTTAATGAGAGATTGCATTGCCATTATATACTTCACAAACCATAGCAAGCAACAGTCACTTATGTGACTGTTCGGTCAAGGAAGTTGACCGTTGGACCAAGATTTGAAAAACTGAAATTCAGTTGTTGGACCAAGATTTGAAAAGATTAAAATTCAGTTTTTTTTATATATATATTATATATATATATATATATTTCCAATACTGTTTTCTCCAAAAATTATAAGTGCCAACCCAACCCAACCCATACACGCATGCGTGTGTTTTGGATTGAGTCTATCTCAGTCCATAATCCCCTCATTACAAAGTTTATGTTCATGAGTCGATTTTTCATTCACTCATTAATGGTTTTAACAACCATACAACAGACTCTTGTTCACCACATAATAAGCAATAAAATTGCTACGTTGACACACTTAAAATAATGTGTGGGTCCTACATTAATTAAAGTTCAAAATATTAATGGTTTAAAATCATTTTTCTCCAAAAATCTCCCACATGAATGAAATTGATGAAAAGAACATGCAACAATATGCAGACACAAAAAGTACTAAACTAGAAATATCCTGCAAAGGAGAGGTAACTTTGGCCTTGAACCTTCCCTTGTAAAAGATTATCGGATTTACTAACAAACAGTAGACATAACGCCTTGAACTGCTCTGTCTTTGGTGTAAACCAAGACAACAACCTTTCACACAGTTTGATTTCCAAACACAACTTAGTTCTATCGGTTGTGCCCATTTTAGCCCTAGACAATTCCTGGTTTTCATGAGTGCTCTAGAGAATTCAGCCT